CCTGATTAGAAAGAAATGAGACCTTGATACCAGGAATGGGGGCAAATGTATTGATGCACATTTAGGCCGTCAGCAACTGCAGGATGACCCATTCCTAACAGCTGCTATTTCTGCCTTTTTTTTTTTTTTTTAAGATAATCCAGAGGCCTTGACTTTATAAAAGAATATGTGTTTCTTGTAGGACCTACAGGCAGCCATGGAAATTATTAATAAAAGATGGTTTATTAATCACAAGGGCAAAATGATGGCTGCCAACAAAGAAGTTGCTTCATTCATAGAATCAAAAGAAATTAAGTGTTGATGGTGAATAAAAAGTCAAAATCCTGAGGCTTTCTCTCCTGATGGTGGAGTGGGTAATAAACACTGTGCTCACCTTCTTCCATGACCACATCAAAATTACAATTGAAATCTAGCTGAACAAAACTCCCATAACTAAGGATAGAAAACAGATGCCATGTGAGACTGGGAGAGGGGGTACAGACACAAAACGAGCTGGCCCCACGTCCACCCATGGTGGCCAAGAGTTGGGAGGCATATGTCGGCTGTGAAGGTCCCCCTGAGGAGCTAGGAGATTCCCCAGCCTGAAGCACCAGGACTCAAAAGAGGAGTTCCAATGAGAGCTGGCTGTAAAAATGAGCAGGAATTCAGTCTGTGTTAGTTGGAGGGCTGCTAGAGGCAGGCATCCTCTTAAGGGGCCCGGGCACAAACTTACTTGCTCACAAATACTCCTTCTCAGCTCCAGATAAGAGACAGAATACAAGGAAAAGGACGTCAGAGGAAGAAATTAATTTCCTGCCTTCAGGTGAGGGCTGGAGGAGCAGCTCCCTCTGGACCAAAGTGCTGGTAGGTGCCATTGTTTCCTTGTTGTGCCCACACCCCACACAGCCTGTGGCACAGGAAGATACCAAATTTCAGTTTCCATGAACATGGCGAACATTACTCTCACCCACCACGATGATTCTGAGACCCTGTCCCATCCAAATCACAAGCCCAGACTGAATCTCTTTCAGAGGCTAATTCACACAAGAAACTGTCCCAGGTGAATGCTGCAAACTTCCCTACAATCTCTTAAAGGTCCACAGACTCCGAACTAGCAGCGTCGTCCTTGGCATGCCCTGTGCCTCTTACTACGTGGCCCCACACACAATGCTAGTAGCAGCCCATGTCTGACTGAATAACCTCTAACAGCAGCACAGGCAGCTACTGAATGCAGAACACTAATAGCTCCTATCAGGAGGCCTCAGGCCCAACACAGACAGCAGCTAAACTTATCCTTCACTGGACTCCTCCCAGAAGCAACATGCCTAATGGCTGTCATCAGAGCACCATCCATTAGCACCACAGATGACACACTCAAGAGTGGACACAGCAGGCACCAAAGTGCATCTACAGTAAATCCTTCTCTGTGGAGTCAGCCACACACACAACAGCTTATCCACTGTAGTCACAGGCAGTCCTCACAGGCAGTCAGCCTGAGAGTCAACCTCAACCACTCATACGCCAAAGCTCAACTACGAGAACCCTAAAGAAAGGGAAAAAAACAACACCTACTAGGAAGGGCTTGTAGAGGCTAACTGGGCTCAAATAAAAAAAGCAGAACCTAGCAGCCACTTCTCCATGGGGGTCTTTTGTACAAATTGCACTTCACAGAGAAACCTCTGTGCTAAACTGCCTGCTTCTGCCCTTAACGACCTGCCTGCCCTGTGTTTCTGTCATCTATGCTAGCCCTTATAACTCCAGTCAAATAAAGCTGCACAGGTCAGACCAATCAGAGCAGCTCTATTCTGACCAATTAGGACACTGCCTTTTGGACCAATCAAACTGTGAGGATTTGGAGTCCTCATTTGCATGAGGGCAGGCCAATCAGGCACTAGGGGTGGAACCATCTGTTCATATAAGCCAGTGTGAACACACTTTTCACCAAAGCCTGAAGACTGCATTTCTCTAGTTAAAGCTGAAACTCCAAAGACATCTCACTAAAGCCGAGCCATAGAAGAGAGGAGCAGAGCAGAGCTGTGTAGCCAGAGAGGGGCCTGGCCCCACGGCGCCTAGCCCCAGATTTGTTACACGGGGTGCTATGACACTAGTGAGCTGTTCCACAGCAGTGCTCTTTTTTTTTTAAGCTTTATTAACTTTTTTTTATGTCAATGTTTTTATTTATTTTTTTTTATTTTGTTTTATTGCTTGAAGTATTACAAAGAGTATTACTTATGTCTCCTTTTTTTCTCCCCTTGACCTTCCCCTGGCTTCTCCTACCCTCCAGTGTCTTGTGTACAGCGGGAAGTCCAGGGAGGGGGGGAGGGGTAAGAGATCAACCGAAGGACTACTATAGTTGTTGTTCTTGCCATGTTTACACCATAGAAAACAATATTTGCTCATCTGAAATTGAGCTTCACACTTCCATGTTACACCTTACAAAGAACTCTATGTTGGCCCTCTTCCATATTTTATTAAAACCAAAATTGTTCAATGCCATCATACCACTCTTAATATAATTTGGGAGTCTCATAAATCTCCTTTAATAGCCTACAAATGAAAACAACCGTGTTATAGCACAGCCTCCCCTGTGCACAGCCCTACTCCCTGCCATGGAGCTACGAGCTGACTCAGACAGAGGCTTGGTGCTGTGGAAACCTCTGTGGCAAGGGCAGCATTTTGGATGCTCTGAGAAGCGGGGCACATCTCCACTTACTATGAAAATGCACTGCATTATTCAAACACTGAGACCATGTTTTGGCACCTCCCTCTTGCGCAGCATTGAGAGTCAATCTGCTGCTTCATGCTACTTGAGAATGTAGTCTGAGAAGCTGGTCCCCTGCAAACCAGGGAGCAGTCACACAGGTGACAGCAGAATGCCTGGGAGCCAGCACTCCTGGTCTCTGATTGGCTGGCTGTGTAGGTGCTCTCTGAATTCCCAGGTCCTTTGACTGGTTGACAGTGGAGAGAGGACAGCAGGAAAAGCTTGGGAATTCCTAACTTCCTCATCCAAAGCTCTGAGAGCACTTGCTTGCGCAGCGCCCAGTCCTCGCTCCTGTGTGTCCTCTGAAGGAAAGCTGTCCCCTGGCTTGATGCGCAGCCCCCGCCCCCGGGCAGAGGTTGAGGTGGAAAGAAGGCATGGGGCTCCTCTCTGCCCTGTATTTACCTGTCAAGCACAGTGAACGTCTGTAAAGAAGGCAGCTGGGATGACAGTTCGTGAAGGTGTATTTTATTATTGTTCCTACTGTTGTCATTGTTTGAAATCTCCCCTAATAAGAAGTTAAACTAGCCCTAGCCGGTTTGGCTCAGTGGATAGAGTGTTGGCCTGCGGACGGAAGGGTCCCAGGTTTGATTCTGATCAAGGGCACATGCCCGGATCGTGGGCTCGGTCCCCAGTGTGGGGTGTGCAGGAGGCAGCCGATCAATGATTCTCTCTCATCATTGATGTTTCTATCTCTCTCTCCCTCTCCCTTCCTCTCTGAAATCAATAAAAATATATTTTTAAAAAGTGAACCATGACTAATTCACATTCAGGTGGAAGCTACCAATCCCCTTCCCGTCCCCTCCCGCCCCCCAACGCACCAGTCCCAGGAAGGAGCAGCAAGGTCCCAGGTGCCTGGAGGGAGAGGGAGCCATGGAGAGAGGATGTGGGAGAAGAGACTGGGAGCTGCAGAGACAGATTCTGTTGATGTCGCTGCCTTCCCATCTCTGTCTCAAAGGGCTCTTTGAGGGACAGCCTGGTGCTTGCTGAGATTCACATTTCCCCCATGAGCGTCCCATCCTGCCCCATCCCTGGCAGTTATTCTGGGCTTCGGAAACCAAGTCCTTCACTGGCTTTTGACCCCTGTCCCCTCAATAATATTAGACCATTAACTTGCTCAGCACAGAAGAGTTGCCATGACAACACATCCATATTTCTGTAAAATGCCAGCACTGAGATCCATGGGCTCAGGCACATGGCAGAGGGACAGCGTGGGGAACCTGGAGGGGGCTGGCTGCGGATTCTCTTCCTGCCTAATTACCCAGACACATGGCACAATGGCTCATTTAACTCTGCCTTGGCTGGAAATGGAGACAGGTTCTCATTCCAGTTGGAACGAATTCCAGCCCGGCCCTTGCTTCCATTTCAGGGACGAGCAGGAGGAAAGTGAGTTATTGAAATGCACAGACGTGTCTTCTTAATTGTTTTGCACTCACCACAGTTCGTCCTTATCCCAAGTCAGGAGCATTGTTCACCAAAGGCTCAGCTGTGGGCTACTGGCAAATGCGGCTTCAGTGTTGGGAGCAACTGTTTCCCACGCCAGTGAGGCAATAGAGTATCATTCTTTCTCAGGACGGATCCAGCAACCAGAGGGTGGGATGACTTACTCATCCTCAGATGCAGAGGGTAACCCTCCTGGCTTCCTCACACTGTCCCGAGAACCCCAGAGTGCATCCAGGCTCCCGCTGTGGGATCTCGCCGATGGAGAAGCAGTCCTGCGAGGACCGGGCTGTAAGATGAGCCCAGGAAGAAGAGAGGATGGAGATGGAGGCAAAGGAGGTTTTCTCCGCCGCAGGTAGCAGCCTCAGGACTAGGCCATTCCTCCACAGGGTGAGCTCACAACTCGCCAGAAGTCCTTTTTAGTCCAAAGGCTGTGGGAGAGCAAGTGAGGCTATTGCCTTCTAGGAATTAGGAAAACAAGTGCTTTTCAGAGATTTGTGCCACTGGTTTTCTGCTGGATTCTCTGCCATGGAGGCCACATACATGGGGCAATTGATTACTAAGATGGCATCCAAGTCAACTGGGTAACAGTGCCTTAGCCATCTGCTCTGTCGTCTCCAGCTCTGATCCTTATCACTTTTCTTTCTATGTGATTTACTGTTTATTATCCAATTCAGGTCATCACAGGCAGAGGGTCAAAGGCTTTCCCACTATCTTCCTGGCTCAGCAAAACCCAGGGTGCCCATCTGTGCTCCCTCTGCTTCGGCCCACCTTAGCACTGAGCACACTCGAAAGTGGGCTTTGGGAACCCATCAATCTGGGAGGACCCAGGGCACTGTCTCCACAGTAAGTTGGTCAGACACACTCTGGCGAAGCCCCCGGCATTTCTGAGAAGGTCAGGGAGTCCTGCCCTCTGGAGAAGAGGGCTGATAGAGAACCCAGCCATGGGATCAAACTCCTTCGTCCAAGTGGGGTGTTAAATGGGGTCAAGGGGAAGATGAGAGGCTGCTGCAGCTCCAGCCTGCCTTGCACCCCAGCCCAGGCCCAGGGGCAGGATCGCCTACCAGGATGGTTAGAGTACCGTTCTGTGAACAGGGAAGAAAACCATGTCTTCTGCAGCAGAATATTGCTGCTATTTGAAAAGACGCCCATGGGCAAAGGGAAGGCAATGAGATACTGTTGGAAAGGACAAGGGACTCGGGGTCTGGGCCATTCTTACTAAATGCTATTCCTGCTAAATGTTAAAGTGTAGCCCAGTATTTTGTAGACCAGCTGTAAATAGTATGGCTTGACAGAAACAACATGGGTGAATGTAGCCAACTGCAAAGAAGAAATCCATGTGGGATCACCATACAGTGTCTACTAGTATCAGCAACCCCACACCTCCCTTCAGGGACACAGAGCTTTGGATATGGATCCTTCACTTGCTGCAAGTAAATAAAATGACCTTGTGACAACCACATCTTACTCGTGGATAGAGCACCTAAAGTGGTAAGCCTCTTGACTTTGGTAATAGCTACTGACTATGTGACAGGGGCTGCACATCAAAAGCTGGGTGTTATTTGATCACCTGCTTCATAAGATCAGGAATTTGAGGGCAAATTCCTGGGCAACAGAAATTCTGCATCAAGCCTGGAGCTCCAGGAGGCACAAGTAAATGACATGAGCAAGCAGCCAGACTCCCTGCAGCTTCCCCTGTTGCTCACTCAGCTCACACCTACGGAGAAGGAGGAATGGCCCTAACCGAGCTTTAAAATGGGGCTACACGTATTTGGTGCTCGCGGTCCTGGGCTGCTGACTCATTACCGCCTCTCTCATGAGTGACAATATGCATTAAGGAATGTTCTCCCAGAGGTCAGAACTTTAAGCAACATATGGGGCCATTTACTTCATAAGGAGGAAGGTCTGAGGTCTAGATTTATACTGAAACTCCTGAGAAGTGGCAAATTACTTGGCTGAAAAAAGTAAGTCTGAATATGTGTATATTCATTTCCTGTAGCTGCTATAGCAGATTACCACAACTGAACACAACAGGCATTTATTCTCTCACAGTTCTAGAGGCCCGAAATCTAAAATCAGAATCACCAGGTTGAAAGCAAGGTGTCAGAGGCTTGAAGAGACAATCCATTCCTTGCCTTTCCAGTTTCTGATGGCTGCTAGCATTGCTTGGCTTGTGGCCACATGACTTCAATCTCTGTCTCCGTTTCACATTGCATTCTCCTCAGGTTTTGTCAAATGTCCCTCTGCCTTTCTCTTATAAAGACACTTGTGGTTTTATTTAGTGCCTACTCAGGTAATCCTGGATAATCACCTAATCTCAAAATTCTTAATTTATTCATATCCACAAAGATCACTTTTTCCAAATAAAATTTAAAGATTCCAGGAATTGCAACAGGATGCCTTTAGAGGCCTTTATCAATCTACCACAAGTTGAGACTAGTAGAACTTGGAAAGAGATTTCTGGGTGATCCTATGGAAATGAGTACAAAAAGTGTGAGGGTTTTTGTATCCCATGTTCCTACCCAACAAAGTGCATTCTCCTCAGAGGTCTCTAACCTCAGGGAGACAGCATGACTTCCTATCGATGTCAGTGAGCACTCATTTGGCCTAGTACTGGCTGAGTCCCTGAGTTGAGTGGCTATGTGGCAAAGATAGAGTATCCTGTGGTCACAGCAAAACAGGTTCTCTCTGACAAGCTCTTGATGCTGCCAACCTGCCAGCATCAGAGACTGCCTCTAAACACTGGATATGCTACCACACCTTTAGGACAGTGCCTCCCCATCCATTGGTTATGAGTCACCAGGTTTGTTTTTAACTTTTAAATACTATAGAAAATATTTTTAAATAATACGATAAATTACTAGAAAATTATCACCTGATTGGATGCTACAACAATGTCAAATTGCTTGTAGAAACAAAAAGTTTCTAGACCCTTACTCTCAATTTCTGTATTTATCACAAATTGGTAACATAGCAGCATAGGCACAAGGACCATGTTTTGAGAAAGATAACCCTACAAAATTACCCAGCACCTGCTGGCAGATCAATCACATCAGATCTTTTTCATTTATCTAAGGTTACAGTTATTCAGAAAATAGGTTTTCCTTCCCTGCTCCTGCCCATCTTGCTTCCCCCAGTACCACAATACATATGCCTAATGTATTGACATGGTAAAACACTCAATGTTGCCTCAGACCAAGGAAATACTACAGCCAAAGTGGTACAACATTAGACATATGACCATGGGACCCACTCTGTTGCCCCATCATACATAGATAATCAGCCAAACAACGTGATGGAAGGGACCATGTTACCAAAAGCTGGGGTATATGATTCAGTAGTAAAACTGTATCACTCCCAGTGACCTACTTGGGAACTTCATGCTTCTCCTCCCATCACTAGATTCTACCAGGTTAAAGGGCCTGGCTCTTTGGAAAGAATGCTTTCACCAGGAGTTTTACAGAACTGAAAGCAGCAATAGCCAGCCAAACACTTTTTACCCCTCATCTCCATGGACCAAAAGTCAAAGAATAGAATTATTGTCCTGGCGGTCATTGAACTTGATTACTATGAAAAGTTGGGATTGCTGCTCTACAATAAGAGCAGGGAGTGCGGGGGTTCCCTGGAAACCAATGATGTCTGAGCTACATTTCCTAGTGATAAGAGAAAAGGAGCAACTGCAGCAACCCTAACTCAAAGGGTCAAGACAAGTTAGACTGGAAACCCTTGTATAGAATCGAGATTTCGCCACCAGGTGAGGAACTCAGGTGAGCTAAACTATTGGCTGATGGAAAGGAAAATTTAAAATGAGTGGAAAAAGAGGAGTGAAGATGGTTATCAAAGATGGCCTTGGGACCAGCTGTTGTGGGTTTTCATAATCTTCTTGCTGTATGTTGTATCCCACATTGCTGCTGGACACTTGAATATGTACCTCCCCTATCAGAAAATAAGTCAGAGCATTTTGTTCTAAAAAAAAATGGAGGCATTGCCCTGGCCAGTGTGGTCCAGTTGGTTGAGAATCACCCTGTGCACCGAAAGGTCTCTGGTTCTATTCCTGGTCAGGGGCATACACCCAGGTTGTGGATTACATCCACAGTCAGGGTGGTTGCAGAGGCAATTGATCAATGTGTCACTCAACATCAATGTTTCTCTCTCTCTCTCTTCCTCTCCCTTCCTCTCTCTCTCTAAAAAAAAAACATTGTTTTTAATGGAGGTATCATGTTTTAATAGTGAGCCAGATATTTAAAAAAGAACCCAAATGAAATTTAATGATGCAAGTGTTACTGTTAGGTATTTATTTTGTGCTACCTCAGATCTCAGCTTCCTAGGTTTTGGGGACCCCTGACTGCTTATTCCAGTCTTCTGCAAAAGGAACCTGATTCCTTATCAGTCCCATGAGCACAAATCAGGAACAAAGGCACGTAAACACATTCAAGAATAAGAGAATCAGAAGAGACATTTGAATTTTTTTAATCAGAGTCTTTTGTTCCCTCTGAATAAAACACAGCTGCTACAGCACTCTGACCTACCAAAGGACAGGAGTGCTTTTACCTCAATCTCCAATCTGGTGGTGAAAATTGTTTACTCAAATTATAGAAACACATCTCCTGGACCGCAGTGGAAATAAAGTAATGAACCTCTATCTCCAATCTGATGGTAAAAATTGTTTATTCAGATCATAAAAATGTATCCCCTGGACCACAGTGAAAACAAAGAGGTAACAAAAATATCTGAGCTCCAGGCTTCACCCTGTGAAAAGCGTACACAGATCTTTTCCTCATGACGTGATTGTGTTTTAGCCTGCACAGCTGAGAGTCCCGAGTCATTTAAATGAATGTCTGTAATTCAGGGAAAGCGGGCAGAAGAGGGACTTTCAACAAAATTTACCAATTACTGCTTCAGAAAAGTAAACCCGAGAAATCCAGCCCTTCTTGGCATTAAACAGATGTCAACGTCACAACGGCGAATGGCCTCCCTGACAGACGGGAGTTGCAAGGCAGATAACTCCCTAAAACCGTTAGAGATCACAAGGCTATTTGTGTCAACTCCCTGCTCCAGTCAGCATTGCACCTACTCATCAGAACAGAGGATTGGCCAGTCCCTGTTCATGTCTTTTAGATAAAGACCTACAATCTCCCCAGCACACTTCTCCAACCCTTTCTTGCTCTAGAATTATACTTTCTAAAACATAAGGATATATTTGTTCTGTTCTTTGCACATGGCAAATACTCAACATCTTCATAGTAACAGAGGTCACAGTATCTCACAAAGTATATTTCTGAAAAGGCATGAATTTTGCAATATAAATGTATTTACATTCAGTCAGAGTCCAAACAAGTCTCAAAGTGATAGTAGAATTCTTATATCTACTTCTTTCTCATTCAAGCAAGCAAGAAATTCTTCCCCACATCTTCAACAGAGCTCCTGTTTCTACTCCTCTCCTTTTCTGTTTATTCTTGTTATCCTGATTTAGGTTTACTTCACACCTGACACCTAGGTGGACGTTACAGCCTCCTGGCTAGAATTCCTGTCTCTAACCTCTCCCTCCTTGCATCCTGTATATGCCTCTGATCTTCTCAAAATCCTATTTTTCCCTCAATATCTATAATAATAAAAGGGTAATATGCAAATCAACCAAATGACCAAACAGCAGAACAACCTTCTGGACAACCTTCGGAACGACCATGCTATGACACCCACTGGCTCCAGGTCAGCCAAGGCAGGTGCGATGTGATTGGTCAGGGGCCCAGCCATTGCCCAATGATCACCCTGCAGAGGGAGGCCCAGGCCACCAGCCGGTGGGACAATCAATTGGAAGGCTCCATGATTGCCCCA